CGGGATGAGCTTATATCTTTAAAAACGTCAATATTTAAGAAAGTACAGCGCAATTTAATATAATTAAGAAATGACCTTGTATCTTGTGAACTATTGATATTTTTAATGATATAAGCTCATCCCGACATTACACTTATCGAGACTCTTCATTTGAGTACCCACATCAATTTTTCATATATTTATATATATTATATATATGTATATATAAAAAATCTATCAAAAATGCATGTGGGTACTCAAATGAAAGCTCTTGTTAAGTGTAACATCGGGATGAGCTTATATCTTTAAAAACATCAATATTTAAGAAAGTACCGCGCAATTTAACAAAATTCATTATTAATACAGCAAAGTTTTATTTATTTATAGTTCACAAGTCACTGCAAACACATAGTGACTGCAAGGTTGCTAGTTTAAAATTATTTTGTAAAATTAAAAAAATTAAATTGACCTAAAAATGATTAGTATTTACAGGAAGCAAGGTGATGAGGTTAAATAACAATTGGAGTAAATTAATAAAATTATTCCAAGAAAAATAAGATCTCCCTCTCACTTTCATCGTCTTCAGTTATCAGAGATATCCCCTACTTAATAACAAAGTTATCACTTCATACGATAGTCTCTGGTCGATGATCAACAAGTAAAACTCAGCATTTATATAACGACTGTAATTAAAAACAAAACAACATATTGTAATTGTGATTATAAAAATGCAGAGCTACGCATCAACGATAAAAAAGGCTGGAGGATTAAAACCGGTGAATAATGAATTGTTACAACCAATGAAGGTACCGAAGAGACTCCTGCTAGGTCCAGGCCCGAGTAATTTATCAGAGAGAGTAATAAAGGCGATAAGTAATCCTCTGTTGGGACACATGCACTTGGAAACGTTTAAAGTGAGTAACAATAAGATTAACTAATGCTGTGTAAGTAGTAATTGTAAGTATGCTAATTGTTAGGTAAGCGAGAGCCAAGTGATAGTACACATGGTGGTTATATTGTATGTATTATGTTGTGTATAGTGATAGTTATTTACATAATTAGATGATGGATGACATTAAAGCTGGCCTGCAGTATGCATTTCAAACTAACAATAGGCTCACTCTCGCCATTAGTGCGACAGGTCACTCAGGCATGGAAGCTTCCTTAGCGAATCTACTTGAACCCACAGACACTATTTTAATAATAAAAGCAGGATTATGGGGTGAAAGAGCTCAAGAAATGGCTAAACGAATTGGAGCACATGTAAGTTGATTTTTTATAATTAATTCATAATTTATATTATTAAGAGAATAAAAAAAATTTTATCTCTAGGATAGTCATATAATAAAATCGATTTTTTTAGTGAAATTTAGTGTCATTGCAAAGGTCTTGACTTGAATTTGTGCCTTTTCAAGTTTTCATATAATTCTCACCGATAGTTAATTTATAATGAGAAGTACTTAAGCTGCATTCGAAAATTCTCGATCTCTAGATACTTAATTAAAAAATGACCTTGTATCTCGTGAACTATTGAGATTTTTAGAGATATAAGCTCATCCCGATGTTACACTCATCAAGACCTTTCATTTGAGTACCCACATCAATTTTTCATATATTTATATATATTATATTTATGAATATATGAAAAATATATCAAAAATGCATGTAGGTACTCAAATGAAAGCTCTTGATGAGTGTAACATCGGGATAAGCTTGTATCTTTAAGAACGTCAATATTTAAGAAAGTACGGCGCAATTTTAATATAATTAAGAAATGCCCTTGTATCTTGTGAAATATTGAGATTTTCAAAGATATAAGCTCACCCCGACATTACACTCATCGAGACCTTTCATTTGAGTATCCACATCAATTTTTCATATATTTATTATATATGTATATATGAAAAATATATCAAAATGCATGTTGGTACTCAAATGAAAGCTATTAATAAGTTTAACATCGGGATGAGCTTATATCTTGACAAACGTCAATATTTAAGAAAGTACAGTGCAATTTGACAAAACTCATTATTTGATAAAGCAAAATTTTATTTATTTATAGTTCACAAGTCACGGCAGTCACATAGTGACTGCAAAGTTGCTAGTCTATATTATTAAGAGATTAAGAAAAATTTTATCTCTAGGATAGTCATATGATAAAATTGGTTTTTTTAGTGAAATTTAGTGTCATTGCGAAGGTCTTGACTTGAATTTGTGCCTTTTCAAGTTTTCATATCATTCTCACCTATAGTTAATTTATTATGATAAGTACTTAGGCTGCATTCTAAAATGCTCTATTTCTAGATACATAATTAAGAAATGACCTTGTATCTTGTGAACTATTAATATTTTTAAAGATATAAGCTCACCCCGACATTACATTCATTAAGACCTTTCATTTGAGTACCCACATCAATTTTTTATATATTTCATATATTTATATATATGAAAAATGTATCAAAATGCATGTTGGTACTTAAATGAAAGCTATTGATGAGTGTAACATCGGGATGAGCTTATATCTTTACAAACGTCAATATTTAAGAAAGTACAGCGCAATTTAATATAATTAAGAAATGGCCTTGTATCTTGTGAACTATTGATGTTTTTAAAGATATAAGCTCATCCCGACATTACACTTATTGAGACCTTTCATTTAAGTACCCACATCAATTTTTCATATATTTATATATATAATTATGTATATATGTATATATGAAAAATATATGAAAATGCGAGTGGGTACTCAAATGGAAGCTCTTAATGAGTGTAACATCGGGATGAACTTATATCTTTAAAAAAGTTAATATTTAAGAAAGTACAGTGCAATTTAACAAAACTCATTATTTAATAAAGCAAAATTTTATTCATTTATTGTTCACAAGTCACGGCAGTCATATAGTGACTGCAAAGTTGCTAGTGGTAATGATTTTATTTATTTATTTATTTAACACTTATAGAAAAGAGTAATTAGATTCACCAAAAATCAATTTAATTTCATATCTAAAAATAATATAATTTATTTAAAGCTGTAAGATTGATGGCCGAGTTGAAGGTTCACCTTACGTTGCAAATTGCAAATTGTAAATCAGTGCATTTCATGTTGATAAGCTTTGTTATTGCGAACTTAGGAGTATTTATACACAGCAAAAAAATTAACTTGAATCAAGTAAACAATTTTCAATCAAGTAAACAAGAAATTCATCTTCTTGATTTGAGTAAAAACATTCTTAGACTAAGAAATTTTTCTTGATGCAAAAATTTTTAATCTTCATTCAAATTAATGAAATTCTTCAAAATTATTTTCTTGGTTCAAGAATTTTTCTCTTGATTCAAGTTCATTTTTTTTCAGTGTTTGAATATCTACATTCACCATAAATCAATTTAATTTAAATTCTAAAAATAATCTATATTTTTTTTTCTTTACTTATATTGAAGATGCTTACTCTATCTAGATTATTATTGTCCAGACGAATTAAAATTGAAAGTAAAAGTTCTGTACTGACCCCTTTGCGTGTAGGGCATTTAATAATAAAAATAAACTCTATAAATACAAAGTGTAGAAATATGTCGTTTGCTTTCATTGTACAGTTTCTGCAATTTGATTGAAGATAAAATTACACAGTGCCACCGACGTATGAGAGATTGCTTACATAATGATCCGCTATTCTATGTTGGATCATTATTTTTTTTAAAATAAGATATTATCCAATTTATTCAGATTTTCAAACATAGTATCAATAATATTAATTATAACTCTAATTCCTACAAAACAAGTAAAATTCAATATTACAAATATTTTTTACTATTTTATCTTAAATAGTTAATTTTACTACTATAATGCATGTAAAAAATTGTACAATAATTATAATGGAAGAAGATCTAGATACAAAAATATAAAACTATGTAAAATCAATAAAACTAGATATTTTAAAAGTCTATACTACGTTTCTACACGGAAAGAACAAGATGACACTGGATACCATCTCAGATTATACTCAGTGACATCAGAGGTGAAAAAAATTTCAGATGGTAGCCAGTATAATCCAGATTATACTGAATAATATCTGGATTATACTCATTGTTATATGGATTATACTAGCTACTATCTGACATTTTTTTCACTCAGTATAATCTGGGATTATATCCAGTATAATCTTGTTCTTTCCGTGTATACAATATTTTAATCTTTTTCCAACTGAATATAAAGAATTGGCGGAAATTAATAAGACGAACAAGATTAAAATGACAAAATGGTTAACAAATACCTACACAGAATCAACTAAGTTTCTAAAATAACAAAATTTTAGTACTAAATACAAAATATAATAAGGCTTGAAATACTAAAAATCAAATATGAAATATGCTAAAATTTAATTGGAATTTTTCCTTGGAAAGCTCATGAGAGTGACTCAGTTATTAATTAATATTATTGTTCATCACTAGGTATTAGGCCTATCTCATTTTCCCTTATCTATGTACAGACAACCATTTATTTCTATAGGGATTATATATTAAATAAATAAATATATTAAGTAAATTTAGACAAACGGTCCAATTTTTATGTTCTAATAGCTTCATTGATCATTAAATTGTTATAAGTAGATAGATAGATATAAGTTTTATTTGTATCACATACATGTGTTTTACAAAGTTTTGATATTCAGAATATCCTTAAATTTATTTGTTAATCAATAACAATAAATTACATTAAATATTAAATAATGACATTCGACATTATACATTTTTTCTTCTTACACATTACATTTACAATTCTCGATATTTTTTTTTTTATACAAATATTAGGTATTAGTCTTTGGTAACAAATCAATTTTTTCAAAAAAAATTTTTTTTGCCTGTAAATTGTTATAAGTATTGTTTTCAACTAAAAGTAAATTTTTTATAATGTTATCATTAATATTAGAATTTTCTGTAACAATTTATAAGCGTAAAACAATAATTAGATAATAATTATATAAATAATATAAATTTATATTTTGGAAACCAATGCTTAGAGACTTAGCTTCTGACCCTCATAAATTTTCTTGTTATAGTTTCCAAACACATTGGCCTAGTTTATGACCCTCATAATTAAAGAAGATATATTATTTTTGACATTTTTTCTCTTAATCTTATTTCAATTGAAATTGTTAATTTATTGTCAATTAGACATAAAAAAAAGTGTATTTTCTTCTTTGAAGACGTTTTCCTTTATAAAAATTTCTACATTTTTTTTTTATATTTTTTCAAAATAATAATTATTTATTGCTGTTATTACAGGTCGAGATTTTGGAGATTGCACTAGGAGTAGCGGCAACTCTTGAAGAATTTGAAGCTGCAATGATCAAGTATAAACCAGCAGTTGTCTTCTTGACTCACTCTGAATCTTCAACGGGTCTTAAACAGCCGTTAATTGGATTTGGAGACGTTGTCCGCAGGTTTTTTGTCATTCGTATATTATACGGAATAATTATTTTTTAATTAATACAGTTAATTTGTAATTTGTAATTTGTAATTAGGCACGACGCGCTGCTGATTGTTGATGCAGTTGCCTCCCTGGGGGGCGAGCCCTTTTTTATGGACGCCTGGAAAATAGACGCGGCTTACACGGGAAGTCAAAAAGTTATTGGCGCTCCGCCTGGGCTTGCGCCGATTTCATTTAATGAACGTGCTGAGTAGGTATTGATTATTTACTCAAATTTATCCAATTATTAAAAATTAAAATTTCTTATTTTTACAGAAATATTATTTAACAAATTTAAAACTTTTATTAGTAATGCCTTAAGTCATTATTATAATAATATGTAAATTTCAATATAGTGAAAGAAAACTTGAAACGTGATCTAAGTTGTTAATGTTACCTAAAATTAATAAGACAAAATTCTATACTAAAAAAAAAAAAATACTTTGAATCAAGAGAAAAATTCTTGAACCAAAAAAATAATTAATAAAAAATTTTAATGTCTTTAAAAGACGAAAAAGTATTGAATCAAATAAAATTTAGTTGAATAAAAAAAAATTTCTTATTTTAAATATTCTTCTACACTGAAAAAAAAATTCTTGTCTGGAGTGTAAATTTTCTTGGCTCAAGAAAATATTAAGGAAGATTGAAAATTTCTTGAATGAAGTCAAAGTTTTTTGAGTCAAGAAAATTTCTTCTTGCTCCAAAATAACTTTTGTCTTCCTTAAAATTTTTTTCACGCAAGAAATTTGTTTTTTCTGTGTACTCAAATCAAGAAATGAAACCCTGGTTAAGAATACTGATTGAAAAGAATTGGGTAATTATTTACAAGTGGGGTCAACCCTATTTTTGGCCATATCTAGGTGAAAAATTAACATTTTTTAATTTTTTTTATTCTGCTTGTTTTTACGGCGCATTTATGATAAAAATATCGTGAAAGAAAAAAATAAAGCTTTTTTGCCTTTAAAAGTTGAAAAAAATATGATGTTTTTGATGTTTTTGGATAAAATTTCCATTTGATCTTTTTTTGATGTTTTTATTTAATTATTTATTTAGTAAATTAACGCCAATCGGCTTTATACAGTGATTAAAGTGAATACAGCACACAAGCGAGAAATCTTAAATTAGTATAATGATGGTAATAATAATGGAAGAATTACTAAGTTTATAATTATAAGTGAAAAGTTATAATAAAAATTTAATGATTTTTAGCATTAATTGAATTTAAATTAATTTGTGGTTTCGACTTCAACATTAGAGTTTAGTTTTTGATAGATATTTTTTTTTTAAGTACATAAAAAAACTCATTTTGTTATCAATTTTTTTTAAATTCTTTATTTTTAAATGTAGATTGTGAAAAAAATAACAATAAGCTTGAAGACGATGAGAATAAAAGTTATTTAAGATTGTTTGCAAAAATAACGATTTTTTTAACTTTTAAAGTTGATTTTTTAATTGAAATATTAATTTTTTTTATATTTTCGCTTAAAAAAAAAAAAAAAAAAAGATGATTCATCAATTCATCTATTTTTTATGGCCAAAAATAGGGTTGACCCCACTTGTAAATAATTACCTTGATAATAATTAATAAACTTTTGGATTTTTACAGACGTAAATTATTTTTACGAAAAACTAAGAGCCCGGTATTTTACTGGGACATGGAAGAGTTGGGAAACTACTGGAACTGTTTTTCAGAACCCGTTAGGCGTTACCATCACACGATATCCGCAACTCTGGTGTATGGATTGAGAGAAGGATTGGCTCAGCTGGCGGAAGAGGGCTTGGAGGCATCGTGGTACAGACACAAGCTAGCGGCGAAGAAACTTCAAGAGGGCCTGAAAGCGCGGAAGTTGGAATTCTTTGTTAAAGAACCGGAAAATCGGTTGAATACCATCACGGCCATTGTTGTGCCACCTGGGGTCGACCCTCAGCTAGTCACGAGGAGAATGATGAAAAAGTAAATCCATAAATATAAATAGAATTTGTAATAGTACATCTTAATACTAACTTGTTTCTTATTTATTATTCAGTACAAAGAATTGTAGTTCTAAAGTTAATTTATTTCTAAATCGACAGATGGAACATTGAGATCGCTGGAGGACTTGGACCGACTTCTGGAAAAATATTCAGGATTGGATTAATGGGAATTAATGCTAACTTGCTAATTGTTGACAAACTTCTCCAAGCTTTGGACGAAGTGTTGAGCTTCGCGAGACAAAGTCGGCTTTAATAATACATGGAATTGTTTTTCATTCTTAATTTTAATATTATCTGAGAAAATTTTTTTCAAGAAGATAAATTAGGTCTTATACTATTGTAATACAGCATGGGAAGTATCAAGAGTTTTTATAAACATTAAGGTAGTTGTCATGGTACAATATTGTCAAAAAATTAGAGATTATACGCGCCGCAAAAGTATATAAGCTTGTAGCTAAGTAATCCATAATTTTTACGCAAGACTGTACCCGTGGAGACGCAACCCATACAATTGTTTCTGTCCGACTCCGTAGATATATACTTTTTCATAAATTGTTGAACTTTAATCCGTTATTTATAAATAATTAGACGGTCAAAAATTTTTTTTATTTTTTTTTAAACTCACAACAAATACATTAAAAGACTGTCAGTTTTTTGAAAGTTTCTGACAGTTAGTTTTTTTTTTTATAACTAAGAAACTGGTACAGAACTGCAGAGAGCCTATGCAATCAATGTTAAATATACAATTTTTAATTGAATTCATCTCGGGTTATAGGTGATCAATCGACTTCAAATTTTTAGGGTAATTGTATCATCATGTTCTTAATAAGTAGACAAAAATTTAGAATTTTCTGACGGTATACCTTAACCACGACAACAACTACCTTAAAATTAGACAAAAACTATTTTTATTTTTAATTTAAGAAATTTATTAACGATAATAAGATAAAAAATCATATTTAAATTGATCAAAGTTAAGTTTGAATATATAACAGATTTTTTACTAGTAATTTTGATATTATTTTCTATTTTTTATCGAACGTCATTTAAAAAAAAATTATCTACTATACACTACAAGAATAAATTAAGAAAATAATTTTAATAAGTTACCTGTGGTCAGCCAGCGAAAAAATTGAGTATATTATCAGCTGTTTTCAAAGAGTATATTTAGAAATACATTTTTATTAATAGCTTCTCAAAGGACAAAAAATTTTGGGGAATTCTTTATAGAAATTTCAAAAAATTAATTTTTTTTTTTAACATTTAGAAAATATAATATATTGAAAAGTACTGTCAAGAAGAAAAAAACAAAATATTAAATATTTACAGAGTAATTTTACATATTTGAGAGCGTCAGAGCCCTCATTTTTTTTTTTTACTAAAATTTCAACTCAAAAATTAATCAGTCAATTTCGCTAAAATTTTTTCGGATCATTATCGGAAAAATCGATTTAAAGCTTGAAATATTTCGCATGAATAAACAAATCTCAAACACAATAAAGCAAATTTTGAACTTTTTTTTAATGAGCTTACTTAATTAATTTTTATTTTTATACTTGTTTATCATTCTCGCGCATACTTTGCAGATAAAAGTGGAAAAGAATTTATGGAAATTTGTATTAATATATTTGTAAATAAAAAAAAAATATACTTCAATATTGAAGAAAAAATTATAAATGAATTTATGCACAATAAGAAAATAATATAAATTGAAAAATGTAAATCAAGAAAATTAGTTAATAGTAATATTGAAAATTTAACCCAACTGAATAAATAAAAATTCATATTTTTAGAAATTTATTTAGTTGGAATAAAGTTTTAAAGTTAGAATAAATTAATCGAACTTTGTGGCACTGAATATTTAAAAATAATGAAATTAATTAAAGCAATTTTTTTTTGTTTCACATTTTTGAACTCTTCAAAGTTCGACTAAAAATTTTGTTAATTTAAAAAAAATATGACTTTTTTATCTTAAATATAACAATTATTAAAGATAACTTATTTTGCGCCACTTGAAGGAATTTTCCATTTTTAATAACGAATTAATTTTTAATTTTAGCATATTATACAAAAGTTCAATTGAAGATAAACCTAAATTAGGTCTTACATAATAATATAGTATGGGAAAAAATATAAAGAATTTTTATGATCATTGATTTAAAGAATAAAAATTTAATGTCATAAATTTAAATTAAATTGGTAGATTGCTATATGAGAAGAAATACGTAAGCAAGATTTATTATTTTTAATAATGGAACATTTTTTATCATCATTTATTTATATGTATTAATAACTAATAATATTTCCTTGTGATTTGATTTTTAGATCCTGGTGGAGGATTTTAATGAGCTTCAAAACTTTTAAAAAAAAATGGGTTGATATATAAAATAGCAAGTCTGTTAAAATAGTTATTGTATACAAAAAAACAATTTTTATTAATTAATAATTTTTTTTATTCAAAATACTGAAATCGGCATACACTCATGTCGAATATTAGCCCTTACGTATTGTCAACTATTCGTTGGTTCTTATTCAAAAAAATATTATTATGTATTTATATATACTTACAAGGCTATTTATCGATAAAAATTTAATAATGCAATAATATTATAATATACAATTATTAGTTTTATAATATAAATTTATATTTATAATAATATTTACTAATTTAATTTTAAACAGGATATAAAATACTTCAATGTCTTTAAATATCTATTAAAAGCTAAAATATTTATTGTATATTTAATCATAGATATTTAAAGAACAGTTTTGAAGTTACAAGGCACAAGTGAATTATTAAACGTTGAAAAATAATTTTTATCTTTATCTGGATTATTTTGGCACAGTATATAAGAGTGTATTACATATTAAATATGATGTTAAGTTTAGATAATTGCGGCGTATAAAAATTGGGCGTATACCGGCAAACCGATTTATTTAATATAATATAAAATCTTCAATCGATTCGTGACTTTAAAACAATTTAAAAAAATTACCGACAAAATAAAGAAGAAATAAAAATTAAGAGAAAGCAAGGCTAGCGCGTGGGATTAAAAATTTCTAAGGTTGTTTTAATCCGTACTGAGATTGAAGATGATATTAATAACAGGCGATTAAGCGCGTGTGGAGGTTAAAATCTTAAGGAAGTTATGTATAAGGTTAAGCTATGTCAACAATTTGATACAAACATAAGATATAGGTGTTTAGAAAATATTATTAGTTAATTTATGGTTATTATTCAAACAGGACGTTTAAATTTTATCCAGCAAAATTAAACGTCGGTAGCAGTGTAAAATAACCGGTGTGCCAATATAAACGCCCAAAAATATCTCGTACTAAGCATCAGCAAAATTTTCACTACCATTCAATTCAAGGCTCTTTTTTACACCCACAGTAAATTTATATTGTAATATTTACTATGCTACAATAAACTATAGTTATTATTTATATACAAAAAAAAATTATAATGTCGGGAATATTACAAAACAATTTATCTTGACTTATTTATAATAATAATAATAATAATATCTAGATATGTATCGTTCAAGGATCCTGATGATAAATATCATTTTTAGCGTTTACACATATTCTTCACGAGCTTTAAAACAAATATATAAACTCATAAATATTTATTATTATTACTTAGAAAATAAATATCTCAATGAGTGTATTACAAATTTTATAAATTTAAAAAAAACGCTCATGTGCGGAGTGTTAAAAATTTTATTTTTAATTTTGTGAATGAAGTTTTCATTTTAAAGAAGAAATGGTAAATATTTACAAGTGGGGTCAACCATTTTAATTTTCATTTTTTTAACGAAATTTCTATATAAATATTAAATTAGCCGACATCTAAAAATTTTTAGAATTTTTTTTATTGAAAAAATTATTGTAAAAAATTTCATTTGAAAAAAAATTGAAAAACTATAAGTGCAATTTTTGAAAAAATATCATTTAGCTCTAATTCAATAATTAAAAAAAAAAAAAAACAAAAAATTAACGTCGGCTAACTTTAGTTTTATAATTTCTATTTGATTTTATTGATATATTTTTTTTTAAAAATACATAAAAAAATGAACAATTTGCAATAAAAAGTTGATTATTACAATTTTAACAAATTTTCAACTTTTTTTTTTTAAATTGTTCGTTTTTTTATGTACTTTCAAATAAATATATATCAAAAAAGATAAAATAGAGATTTTATTCAAAAACATGAAAGTCAAAATTTTTTATAATTTTTAAAGGCAAAAAAACTATAAAAATATTAATTTTTTGATATTTTCGATATCACCACCAAAAATCCGCCGTAAAAATAAGCAGAATAAAAAAAATTAAAAAATGTTAATTTTTCACCTAGATATAGCCAAAAATAGGTTTGACCCCACTTGTAACTAATTAAATTTTTTTTATCAAATTAATCAAATTTTTTTAAATTGTTCATTTTTTTATTTACTTTTCAAAAAAAAAAAATCTATCAAAAAAAAGATAAAATAGAAATTTTATTCAAAAACTTGAGAGCCAAAATTTTTTTCAACTTTTAAACGCAAAAAAGCTATCGAAATCTTTATTTTTTTTCACGACATTTTTTATTATTAAATGCGCCGTAAAAACAAGCAAAATAAAAAAAAATTTTTAAATAAAAATTTTTCACCTAGTTATGGCTCAAAATAGGGTTGACCCCACTTGTAAATAATTACCGAAGAAATAATTAAATAATTAATCTAAACTTCACATGAACATTCTCTATTAAATTTAAAACTCATAATCATAATTACTCACATCAGTAATTAATCTTGGATATTCATTTTTTAACATTAGCATTTATATTAAAATATATTAATTAATAATTAAAATATATAATAATGTTAGCGTGATGGATAACAGTTATGATAAAAATGATAACAATGAATAATGAAATAATAATATTAATTGATTAATTATAATAATAAGTATAAAGTAAATATAATAATAATAATAATAGCAATTGAATAACGATAACTGACGTCGCCATCGAGGTTCTTCAGTCTTCTTTGGTTGTTGGGTAACTCTTTGAGGTGGGTGGTAGTAAAAGAACAAATTATAAGCCAAACTCCCAACAAATTTCCTCATTATTATTACACAAATTCTCGTTATTATTATCATAATAAAAATAATAATAATAAATATGATTAACGATCATGTATCCCTACTTACCCACTCAATTGCCCTATCAGCCACCCTTTCTCGAGAAAGTACTTAACAAATATTTTCCTCAATAAAAATCATTGAGGAAAAAATAATAATTTTATATATACGTCCTTCCGTTCGGCTTTTCAATTAATAAAAACCAATTGACAAATTTAAATCAGTCTGTCTGGAGAGCGACGTGAGAGATAGTTAAGAGTGAAAGATATATATGGGGTATTCCATGCCAAATCGACTACTTTTGAACATGACTCCTTTAGATTTAGCTGAAACTTTTTTATTCTTTTCTACTCTTTGAAAAATATTTTTGAGAATTTTTTTATCCAACCCAAAAAAAGTTATGAATTTTTTCAAAAAAATCGCTTTTTTATTTTCAAATAGCCATAACTTTTTTAGACATTGACCTTTGGGTACCTTTTTTTTTTTAAATTTTTGTTTTTGAATAAACTTTTTGAAAAAATACACAAAAAAAAAATTAAATATGATCAATTCTATAAAATAATTGGTTTTTTTTTGAGCAAAATCGTTATTTTTTCAGTTCACTTTTTTTTTTTTAATTTTTTTTTTCTCAAAAAAAACTTCCATCAATTTGACAACTTTTCCCGCTCATCCCGGACAGGGCCGATTTTTTTATATGTAATTGAAAAAAAAATTGTCAAATTTTCTGAAATAAAAAAAATTTTCAATAATAATTTTAAATTAACGGGACTTTCTAAAATTATATCTTCTCTTATTAAAGAAACAAAAATTAACATTTAAAAAGATTATGATATTATTTAAAATAATTAAAAATCAAATTGTCTATATTATTGAAAAAAATCAGCAAAATTTTATGGCCAATAGTCAATTTATGATGATAAGTATTTATTAGGCTGCATTTGAAAATTCTCTCTCTAGATAGATAATTAAGAAATGACCTTGTATCTCGTGAACTATTGACATTTTTAAAGATATAAGCTCATCCCGATGTTCCACTCATCAAAACCTTTCATTTGAGTACCCACATCAATTTTTCATATATTTTATATATTTATATATATATGAATATATGAAAAAGATATCAAAAATGCATGTGGGTACTCAAATGAAAGCTCTTGATGAGTGTAACATCGAGATGATCTTATATCTTTAAAAATGTCAATAATTAAGATTTGACATAGCTACCTTGTCAACTAATGATATTTTTAAAGATATAAGCTCATCCCGAAGTTACACTCATCAAGACCTTTCATTTGAGTACCCACATCAATTTTTCATATATTTTATATATTTACATATATTATATATATGTATATATGAAAAATATATCAAAAATGCATGTGGATACTCAAATGAAACCTCTTGATGAGTGTAACATCGAGATGAGCTTATATCTTTAAAAGCGTCTATGGTTAAGAAAGTACAGTGCAATTTAATATAATCAAGAAATGACCTTGTATTTTGTGAACTATTGACATTTTTAAAGATATATAATTTTTTTATTTAATTTAGTAAAAAAAATTTTTAAATTTTTTAAAAACAATTAATGGAAATTTTTTTTAAGAACACAGAAAAAAAAATTAGCTTGATTAAAGAGAAAAATTTTTGAATCAAATAGAATTTACTCAAACTAAAAAAAATTTCTTAGTTTAAGAATTTTTCTATTCAAGAAAATGAAATTTTTCAAATTTACTTGACTTAAGTTATTTTTTTTTCTGTGCAAAAAATAGCAATTTGTTATACTTATATAGATTTTGAGAATTACAAATTATGAATGAAGAAAAATTTGGCTTAATTTTTTGCAAAAATTTGAAATAAAAATTATGAAAAGGTAAAAGGTAAAAATTCACGGTAAGATCTTTCTAATGGTACCAAATTTAAGTTTAATAATTTTTTTGAGTTATTATTATTATTATTATTATTATTCCTTTCAAATTTGTCTTTTTTTAATAATGATAATTTTAATGTACACAAAAAAAAATTAAGTTAATTAAAGAGAAAACTCGGGATGAGCGGGAATAGTTGTCAAATTGATTGAAGTTTTTTTGAGAAAAAATATTAATTTTATAGAATTGATCATATTTAATTTTTTTTGTGTATTTTTTCGAAAAGTTCATTCAAAAACAAAAATTTTCAAAAAAAAAAGGTACCTAAAAGTCAATTTAAAAAAAAGTTATGGCTATTTGAAAATAAAAAAGCGATTTTTTTGAAAAAATTCATAACTTTTTTTGGGTTGGATAAAAAAATTTTTAAAAATTCTCAAAAATGTTTTTCAAAGAGTAGAAAAGAATCGAAAAGTTTCAGCTAAATCTAAAAAAGTCGAGTTCAAAAGTGGTCGAGTTGACATGGAATACCCCATATATATATTGAGAGTGAAGATATACATAAGTATAATATAATATAAAAAGATATAAGCAATTGATAGTATTGTCCATACACATCTATCACAATTTTCTCTAACTCCTTCTCCATCTAGATGTCATTCTTACTGTCAGACAATTGCAATTCAACCCAATGAATTATTCAATTCGCATTACTATTACTCTTCCTTCGTATCTTTTATCTTTTATCGTCTTCTTTTATTATTTTTAACTTATATTCTTTTTTTTTTTTTTATTTATTTATTTAATAATAATGAGAGGAAGTGCAATAACCCTAGTGTGTGTTGGCTTTTTTAGTAATAATTTTAAAAATAAAAATACATCTGGACTGATTAAGAGAACCGATCTAACGGATTACCATCAGAGATCTCAGCTGAGATCACGAGACGTCATCGAGTACTTGGAAGTTTTTGGTGATGCCGAAGACGAGTAATAACGTTGCTGCTGCTGATTTTGTTGTTGCTGTTGCTGTTGCTGCGGTTGCTGCTGCTGATGATGATGATGGTTGTGATTATTACTATGATGATGGTGGTGGTTACGATGATTACGGTGATGCCGTCGTGAGCGTTTACACTGTACGGTGCAGCAATCGTCTGCTTCCGGAATCCGTTCCCCTCGCTTGAGCTGGTTAACGATCGAATTGCACAGGGACCGTGGACATCGCTTCCTATCGCACTTCACTTCACCATTCTGGTTGAATAACACGTAATTAGTTACAAAGAAGACGTTACTTTCGAAGCTTTGAGTTATTTTTAGCCACCATAAGTCATCTCTATATTATTAAGAGAATAAGAAAAATTTTGTCTCCAGGATAGTCATATGATAAAATCGGTTTTTTAGTGTCTTGACTTGAATTTGTAAATTTTCAAGATTATATTTCATTCTCACCGATAGTCAATAATATTTAGGCTGCATTTGAAAATAATCTCTAGATAGATAATTAAGAAATTACCTTCTATCTTGTGAACTATTGACATTTTTAAAGATATAAGCTCATCCTGATGTAACACTCATCAAGACCTTTCATTTGAGTACCCACATCAATTTTTCATATATTTTATATATTTATATATATGTATATATGAAAAATATATCAAAAATGCATGTGGGTACTCAAATGAAAGCTCTTGATGAGTTTAACATCAGGATGAGCTTACATCTTTAAAATTATCAATAATTAAGAAATGAACTTGTATCTTGTCAACTACAGACATTTTTAAAGATATAAGCTCATCCCGATGTTACACTCATCGAGACCTTTAATTTGAGTACCCACATCAATTTTTCATATATTTTATATATTTCATAAATATCATATATATATAAAATATATGAAATATATAAAAAAAATCATGTGGGTACTCAAATGAAAGGTCTCGATGAGCGTAACATTAAGATGAGCTTATATCTTCAATAACATCATTAGGTGACAAAATACAACATCATTTCTTAATTATTAATATTTTTAAAGATGTAAGCTCATCCCGATGTTATACTCATCAAGACCTTTCATTTGAGTACCCACATCAATTTTTCATATATTTGTATATATTATATATATGAATACATATATGAAAAATATATCAAAAAGCATGTGGGTACTCAAATGAAAGGTCTCAATGAGTGTACCATCGGGGTGAGCTTATATCTTTAAAAATGTCAATAATTAAAAAAAAAACAGTGCAATTTAATATAATTAAAGAGTGACCTTGTATCTTGTGAACTATTGACATTTTTAAAGATATAAGCTCACTACGACATTACACTCATCGAGACCTTTCATTTGATTACCCACATCAATTTTTCATATATTTATATATATTATATATATGTATATATGAAAAATATATCAAAAATGCATGTGGGTACTTAAATGAAAGCTCTTGATGAGTGTAACATCGGGATGAGCTTATATCTTTAAAAATATCAATATTTAAGAAAATACAGTGCAATTTAACAAAAGTCATTATTTTATAAAGCAAAATTTTAATTTTTTTTAGTTTACAAGTCACGCAGTCACATAGTGACTGCAAGGTTGCTATTTAATGATACTCATGACTCATGGAGGTGAATTATTTAAATTATATATATATATTTTTTTATTCTGTAGAAAGTAACTTACTTTGCAGCGACACTTGACGCATTTTATTTCCCCGTGGGAGTGAATCTTGGGGTGCCAGTCTCGCCCGTTTTCGTAGGGCCCACCTACGGGATATCTGCATCCGCCGTCGGCCAGAATATCTTCTGGAGTCCGTTTCGGGACATAAAGCGACTGGACTATCGCCTGGTCACGTGGCAATGAAGGATCACTGGTTATCGGGCCTTGAGTGCCGGAAATGGGAATCACGCTCACCACTGGACACTGCTTGCAGCAGGCTTTTTTGTCTGGTCTTATCGCTGTTTTTTCATCGCAATCCAATGCTGGACATTGGACCCGTGGACATCTTACTATTAAATTTATTGGCTGAAAAAATTAATACTAATGTATTTTTATTTCCTCAATTAAATTGAGATTAATTTATGATTATTAAAAGTTTCATTGTTGTTTAAAAAAAAATATTTTTATTTTTTATATTAAGAGATTATCGACTGCCCAACTTTAAAATACAATAACTGCAAAATTTTCATACCTGATTTTTTTTTAGTATTGCTGCATTTCTTATTTTAAATTTTAGACCTTAATTTCAAGCATTTTTTCTTAAAAATATTTATTTTCAAGTATTTTCTATTCGTAAATCAAATTTTTGGTCAATTTGGCGCGCAAAATTTTTTTAAGAAAAAAAATTTTTTTAAATCTTAAAATTGTTAGTTATTGTCTTTTGAAATTGGGTAGCCCTTATATGAATTTGGAATTTTTGAAAAATTTTTAAAAGATTTAATTTTCAATGATTAAAAATTTTTTTAATTTAAGAAAAATTTTTAAAAGATTTAACAAAAACGGCAAAGAAGATCAGTCTTATTTTTACAGAATTTTATTAATTATATGTTGCAGTAATTGTAATTTGTAGAAAATATATATTTTGATAATTCCTTGATAATAAATGGAATTTTTTTGGATCTTTAAATTTCAATGATTCAAACTGAAGATAATGAAAATAATTTAGCAGATATTTATCTAATTTTAAGAATTTTTGTAACAAATAAACTTTGGTAAAAAAAAAAAAATGAGAAAAAAATAATTAAGATGTGTAAATTAAAAAAAATCTAATAATGCAATTTTTTAAAAATAATTTTTCAGAAAAAATTTGTTTGTTAGAATTAAAGAATGGTCAAGTGACTGTTAGCTAAAGAGTGGTTAAGAGACTGTTAACTTTTATGTCATCTGAAGATATGCTAACTGTGGATTAACTTTTTTTATATCTACCAAAGATCGCCAACAAGAGCTAGAAAAATAATTTTTCCAAAAAAAAAAAAAAAGAACTTTTAATCAAAGTTCAAAGTCACTATCAATTGTATATAAATTTTTATATTAATCAATTAAAAAGTTTCTTTAAAAGAAATTATTCAAAAATTTCTTTTTCAGCCTTCTAAGTGCGTATAAACTTTTAGGAAGTCAAATATCCATACGAAATCAACAAAAAATAGTAAAATCAGGTCCTAGATAATAAACTTACATCACAAGTACAAATTGCACATGTATCAAAACCAGAGGGTGGTAAATAAGGATGCCAAGCAGCTCCAGCAACGTGAAATTGTCCTGCGAGAGTACAACCACGAAGAGCTTCAGTGCTACTTTTCTTCGAAGACATCGTTGATGTCATCGGATTGGGCGTCGTGCTCGTTGTATTGTCACTAGGTACTAAAATTACAAAATTTCAATTAATAATCCCATTAATTATTGATAAAAATAAGTATACGTTAAAAAAAAATCAACTTGATCCAAGAAAAATTTTTTGTTTTCCTGATTTAAAATATTCATCTAAGTTCAAGAGTTTTTTTCTTGAATCAAAGTAGTTGTCGTAGTTAAGGCATACCGTTAGAAAATTCTAAATTTTTGTATACTTATTAAAGACATGATGATATATATATAT